TTTTTTTGTGTTTAGGTGATGTAGTCAAGCATGTTTATGCTAAAAATATTCTACACAAAGTAACAATAATCACGTCTTTTTGTAACCAATCACATGCTTTCAAAACAAAACTCAAAGAAGAAGCTGAACGATTAAAAATTAAAAAACAAACTCTTCATACAATTGTTAAAACACGGTGATCAAGTGTTACTGAATGTTTAAATTCGTTTATTCTTCTTCGAGCACCACTTGAAGTACTTGTAGCTATTGATAAATCAATAGCACCTGCAAAAGTTATTAATATAATTAATAATCGTTTATTTTTTCATGATATTGAAAATTTGCATAAGATTATGCAACCATTAGCTTATGCAATGACAATTATTCAATCTTCTTCCATTATATTAGCAGATTGTTATCTTATCTTATCATGTCTTCGTTTAACAACAGATAAATTTGTTGTTAATACAGAAACACAAGCATTTGGTAAATTTGTTGGCAAGGTGGTCGATATTCGATTAAAAGAATTCCACAATGACTTATATTTAAGTGCTTATTATCTTCATCCAAAATATTGTAGTGCTGGTATGCTTACTGTTGGTCGGTCGGCCGTATATCGTTGTTTGGCTGAATATAGCAAACAAATTGGAAACAATTTAGCAACAACAAAAATGTTATCAGTTCTTTACAAAGGTATGAGATTAAAAGTGGACCTTATGCACTTCATTTTACACAAGGTAAATAATATAGATTCTGTTTCTTGTCTTATTTTGTTACATTAATAGATGATACATCAGAATCTTGGTGGTCCATGATAAATGATAATACACATAAAAATTCATTATCCAATATTTCATTACGAATATTTTCAATTACACCTCATTCGGTCATGCCAGAGCGATTATTTTCTATTTTAGACTGGCATCATACCAAACGTCGTAATCGTCTGAATCCATTTACACTTGAAGCAATTGATAAAATACATACATTTTATAAAAATTGATCAAATAATGTTGATGATGTTGTGGATACATGTTATTTAGAAGATATATTGGATTTAATGGATGATTCAAATTCAACTGCTAGTATTGTTGATGATGCAAATAATTCGATTGATGCAATTGATTTTATGCAGCGCATTAATGATAATCATCATGCTTTACGTACAAAATGTGAAGCTGAGTATATTAGTGAAGAACAATCTGTTGATAGCGAAAATATTCCAGAACGTGATCATATTATAAATACTCAAGATCGAGATTATCAACAGATATTAGTGGATATCGACTTTATTGATGAAAATCAGCCATTATCTCCTGAATATGATGAAATAACTGGAAATGATTTGGTTGATAATGGATCAAATGAAGATTATGACGTTGAAGAATTATTATCGGCTTCAATGGCTAAATAATTATCTTGAAAAAAACTATTATTATCTGTCATGTTCTGTATTCTTTTGTTCATCTGATGATGTTATGTTGCCTGTTCGAATTATACTATTGAATTTATAAAGGAATCATCAATTACACATTACATGCATTTATGTTAAGCTAAAGTTGTCTTTTATTTTAGCAGAAAAGAATGTTTTAAATGATAAAAACCAAATGAAAGAAAATTGTATTTAAGAATGTCGCTTTACTAAATTCTATAATTCAGATTATTAAGATCTAAATGCTAGTAAGATTGACAAAATTTAAGCAGTTGATGGTTATAACTTCGGCTGATAGTTATAACTCGGGTTAAAGGTTATAACTCAGGTTAAAGGTTATAACCATGGTTGATAGTTATAACTACGGTTGACAGTTACAACTCAATTAACTTTTTGGCCGAAAAGTTGATCGGTTATAACTCAAAAGTTATAACTACGCTAGTTTTAACTCCCACACTGATCATGACACAAAAATGGATTTATTTATGGTGAACGATGACATTGACAGTTTGTATATTCTCTTACACCGATTGTTTCGTATTATACTATAAAGTATAACTATTCGTTAAAAAGTATTCAAATATTTTTTCAGTACGAGTGTTGTAATCATCAAAATACAATTCATTAAGGAACCGTCGCAAAAGTTCACAAAGAAGTAGCTAAAGCATGGACGTATCGGTTAGAACCACACTGACACACTTACAGACACCCCCACTCTTTTCTTACGGGCGTCATATCAACCCGATCTGTCTAGTCTTTCTGAAGAAAAGGACTAGACTATGTTTGCGTCATAACGCCCGGTAATAAGGGTGTTGGTGTGAGTTGCACGAAACAGAGCACCTACACCCACACATCCATCCAAGAATGCAGTTGGATTCAGACTAGTCTCAAACGAGGACTTTTTGAGACTCTGACTAGTCCTGCCATGCCGGCATGACTAGAAAACAGACTAGACGTCTACTCCGTCTCTAGTTCACTTGGGTTCGATCCCAAATTCCAATTGCAATCCGTTACTGGCTTTCCATGCCAGTCTAATTGAGAGAGATGGTATATATGTGTGTTGTCATGGCACCGACATCGAGAGAGATGCGATGTATAATGTTTGAAAGTTGAAACATGAAACTTGAAAGTTAATTTGAAAGTTGCAACTTCAAACTTGAAACTTCAATTTTGAAACTTGAAACTTGAATATTGAAACATGAAACTTGAATGTTAATTTGAAAGTTGCAACTTCAAATTTGAAACTTGAAGCTTGAAAGTTGAATCTAATTCAACTTTCAAATTTGATATATATATATATATATACTAATCACCTTCAGTTCTCTTTATTTCATTTCCAATCCTGATCTCGCGTTTATCATTTCATATTTGACGTTTGAAGTATTATTAGTGTAACCATCGAACAATTAACCAGGAGATGTAATTACATCCATTGTAGCTTTGCGTTGTTTAACGCGTTGTTAAGTTGTTTTTTTCTAAGGTGTTGTTTTTCTTTTCAAAGATAATCATGTCCAACTCTCTTCGCATTTGGAAGAAAAAAAATTATTTCTCTTGTGCGTAGGAGAAACGACTTCTAATTTTAATATAAAACGATCTTTCTGATCTTAGATGTGAGTTTAAATTTATACGTGATGCTTAAGGTTAGTTGTATTTATTTTGGTGTATGGTTACTTATTGAGTCGACAAAACTAATTAGATAAATGTGCTTACTAGTTTAGAATCGTAGACAGAAGGTTGAATACTTATCTGGAAGAAAGTTTCGAAGTTAGAAATCTTGCGATAGAATAGTAGGCACATGATATTTTCTCGAATTATAAATTTTTGGCTATGTAATTTAAGTTGCAGCTTGATATTTTACGGGAACCGTTATTTTTTATAATAATCAGTGTTCCAATAAAAAAAAGTTTATGTCAACCGAAACTTATGTAATTACCAATAATTTATCAGATGTATAGTCAGCGACAAAAATTTAAGCAGATTTATTCATTTTCAATTTTTTCTTACACTTGTGTTTTTAATTTTCATTCACATGATTAAA